TCCTGGCTGAGGGTGGCACTTCCCCATGGGATCGCCACCCCTTGGTGGCATCCTCACTATGGATTCCTTAATAGCAGACCCCATTGAATTGGAGTAAGTAGATTAATTGCCATATTTTCCCCAATTGTTTTAAAGATGAAATTTAGAATTTTACTAGGCCAGGGCCAGAATGTGTAGTTTAAGGATCAAAGATCCCAGTTTTCCTTAATGATGTGCCAGCAGGTTCCTTAGTATTGAAATTACAGTAAGAAATGCACACACCTCTGTGAACAGAGACCCATACAAGACAGAGCAAGTAGAGGGGCTGTCTGTAGGTTTACCAAACTTCCTGAACAATGAGAAGCAGGGGAGTAAATAAGAAAGGGCCTCAGTCTCAGGCCTGTAGGGACCAGGCTGGGACATAGTGTAAGAGAAGCAGGCCCAACCGTGGATGAGGATGGGGGCTAGAGGGACTCTGGTAAGTTCTAGCCCACATCCATCTAAAGGCTCCACTTAATGGTTGCCATAGAGGAATGTGGATCCCAGTGTTACCAATCTTTTTTCTCTCCCCTTAAGAAAGGCCAGAAATCCAGCTATTAATACAAAATATCCAATTTAGAAATGATGGAAATGAGGGTTTTTTTTAAGGTTAAACATTGTACTTTCCAAATAAAACTTACCTGCAAACCAGATATTATAAGCCACCAGTTTATGCCATCTGGTAAGTAGAAGTCAGATTCTAGCTCTGCTGTAACCTAAAACAAGTTCCTTAGACTCAGACTTCTCGTGCCAATGAGAATACCACTTTGTTCCTAAAGGTTATAAGGAAAAGGTAATATATGTGAATAGCCACAGAGCCTGACACCTCACTTAGGGAAACAGCACAGGTTTAATAAAACAATACAGTAAAAATAAAATTCATTATCAGCCCCGAAGCCTTCTGCTACCGTGTGAGCACATTATAGGTATAGAGCTTTGTGCTAGATTCTCTGGGAGCAGCAGTTTCCAACCTGGCAATTCATCTGTATCATAAACTGTGCTTGTTAAATGTGCTGGTTCCAGGGTCCCACCCATCGTTACATTACACCTGTGCCTGTCCTCACCCAGATTTATGAGCTCATCTTTCCAAGAATATGCATTTTAATGAGTTCCTCAGGGGAGATCTTTGGTAGCCAGTTTGCATTTATAGAAACCACTGCCCCAGAAAATGAATCACTACTTCCAGTGTAATTAGGGAAAGATGAGAAGCATATGCATATATGTAAGGAAGGGTTAACAGTAGTTAAGCAAAGCTCCCTGGATATAATGGTCTCTGATGAAGTGCTGACTGAGGACCTTAGACAGTCGGCTGTTGATAAAATACTTAAGGGACAACCAAACGGGGAGGGAAGTGAGCGACACCATGCAGTGAGGTCAGGATTTTGTCAGACTCAAGCAGAACCATCTAGCAGTCTAGACTCATAGATTTAAGTGAGGTATGCGGCTACAAGTTTGACATGCTTGGGCTCTAGACAGGAAGGCAGAGGTCACACCTTGCAGAGGCTGTGCAGGCCTGTTGGAGCTGCGTTGAGGTACAGCTTAGCGGAGCACAGAAGACAGCAAGCAGGCAGAAACCTGGTGGCGAAGGCTCTTGAAGGTCAGACCAGTTATAAGTGCTTCACATGACCAAGTATTTTGATGTGGTCGTGAAACATTTTCATATGGCTTACTGAAGTACACCCTAACCTACCTAAGACCATTTTATTATAAATAAATTTTTGTTTGCTGTAATTTAACTTTCTCTTTTTCATACACACAATCCTCTTTTGGTGAAATTTCTCTTGGTTGGACATGAACTCTGGGCCTTACCACGAACCCCAGAGGAACACAGATGGATACCAGGCTTAAAGTGCTCCAAGGTGATCAAGTAAGTGGAGGGAAAACAAAAAAGGAATCAGGCCAGAAGTGGGGGGGAAACTAGAAGGGCCTTGGGAAGGGAGAAAGCATGCTGGAAAGAGGCGCCCCGGTCCTGGTGAAGTGGCCTGGAGAAGAGAGGAGAGGAGGCCCAGAAGGGAGAGTGGGCTTGGGAGCCACGGGGAAGGCGTGGGGGAAGGGAGAGCGCCTCTTCACTTCACAGCTAAGTCGTAGTGCTCGCTGGGACTCGCTGGGATTATGGGTCCGGTGGGGAGAAGGGGACTTCCAAGCTGGGGATGAGCAGGGGGTCTCCCAGAAAGGATCAGGAGATGCCCATGGTTGCCAGAGGCTGCTGTAGCCCCAATTTCGGGGCAGTCAGTGGACTAGAAACATAGAGTCTGTCGGGTCTACACCTTGAGAATTGTAGGACCTTGAGCAGGCCAGTTGTCTCCTGTGCACCTGAGATCCCTCTGTGAATAATGAAGGGGTTGCATTAGGTCAGCTTTTATTTTGAAACAGTATTGGGACTGGATCCTTTCTTCCATGTATGTTTTATCTGAAGAACCATTCCTAAAGCAGACGAGGTTGGAGTTGCTTCTTGAAGTAAGAGTTGGGGGTGGGGTGCTGCTTGACCAACCTGTGAGGGCTCTGGGTCAAATGGCCACTACCGTCCCTTAGACCTCTAAGCATTCAGAAAGTTGGTCATGCAGTGCTGCTCCTCCGCCAAAGAGCTCTCAGACAGTTGTTCCAGCAGCAGCAGCGATTGCATTTGGTCACGGTGACAGCAGAGGCAACCTTTCTGAACCCATTGTGCTGCTCTCGGTGCATCTAGGTGGGGAGGGAAAGTCAGCCAACTATGCTGAAGGTCAGTCAGCCTCCCTCTGTCCCTCATACCTGGGCCTCTGCAAGGAGCCAGCCCAGCGCCTTGGCCTTCCATTGTGCCAGCTGGAGAAAGTTACCACTGCCACTCCCTGGGGCTTGGAGCCATAATAAACATCCTCCCACTTTGGGAGGTGGGGGAAATGGATAAGGGAGTTTATCACTCCAACATCAAACAGCTGGGTGAGCACTGTCCCCTGTAAGAAGTGTTCAAACCTATAAAAACTTTCATGAGCTTATTTGAACCAAACAGAGGATGTGCCTGGAAGATCTCAACAGACTGAGAAAAACACTTCAGGCAATGGCAAATTGCGATTTCATTTATGCATCTGGAGTGAAGGAGGGGATGTAAGGAAGATTACGTGAAAGGGGAAGAAAGCTACGTGGGGATCGGATCACAGCAGCAATTTTCAACCTCTTTCATCTCATGGCACACATAAACTAGTTACTAAAATTCTGTGGCATGTCAAAAAAACGTGTTTTTTGGTTTGTTTGGGGTTTTGGTTTTTTTTGCTATCTGACCAAAAAAAATAGATTTCATTTTTTTAAATTTTTATTGATTTCAGAGAGGAAGGGGGAGAGAGAGAGAAACATCAATGATGAGAGAGAATCATTAATCAGCTGCCTCCTGCATGCCCCCCGCTGGGTATCGAGCCCACAACCTGGGCATGTGCCCTTGATTGGAATTGAACCTGGGACCCTTCAGTCCACAGGCTGATACTCTGTCCACTGAGCCAAACTGGCTAGGGCAAAATAGATATAATTTTTATTCATTCACACCAGTCGGCTATTGTGTTGGCTGTTGTCATTTTTTTTTTTTTTTTTTTTTACTTGATAATCTAAGGGAAATGAGGTCAGTCCCCCTGACTGAATCATCAGGTGTTGCATGTTTTATTTTTATTTTTTAAATATATTTTATTGATTTTCCACAGAGAGGAAGGAAGAGGGATAGAGAGCTAGAAATGTTGATGAGAGAGAAACATCAACCAGCTGCCTCCTGCACACCCCCTGCCGGGCATGTGCCTGCAACCAAGGTACATGCCCTTGACCGGAATCGAACCCGGGACCCTTCAGTCCACAGACCGACGCTCTATCCACTGAGCCAAACTGGTTTCGGCAGGTGTTGCATGTTTTAAAAATTCTTTGCGACACACCAGTTGAAAAGATCACTGGATTACAGGATAAGGATTATGTGCTCTCTTGAGTGTGGTTACAGTTCCGGAAGTCTGAGAAAGAACTATTTCAAAAGTGTGTTACTTACCCCTGGCCATGTGGCTCTGTTGAGCATTGTCCCATGCACTGAAAGGTTGCCAGTATGATTTCCCAGGCAGGCAGGGCACATACCCAGATTGTGGGTTTGACCCCTGGTCAGTATGTGTACGGAAGGCAACTGACCAATATTTCTCATATCAATGTTTCTCTCTTCTCTCTAAAATCAATAAAAACATTTTTTAAGTGTGTTACCTAGATGCACACACACACAAAAAAACACAACAACAATGGACAGTGCTTGCTGCAGGAAAAGATAAACCTTTCACTAAACAAGTTTTAGGCCTGGGGTGTGACTCTTCACCATGACCAGCCCAGTTAGGAATTTATGAATAACCACCCTGTGAGGTTACGTTCAGTCAGATCTATCACAGCACCCCCTTTTCGCCCACAGTACCTGCTATGTGAAATAAAGGTTAGTTCTGCGCTTGGAAATGAAAGAAAAGTTGGAGAAGGCACTTGGACACTGGATGGACTTCTATTTGCCAGACCAATGCTATGCATTTTTTAAAATATATATTTTTATAAAAAAGAAGGAATTCTCATCATTTGCAGCAACCTGGATGGAATTGGAGAACATCATGCTGAGTGAAATAAGCCAGTCAATGAAAGAGGAAACACCACATGACCTCACTCATTTGTGGATGATAAAGAACATTATAAACTGAAGAACCAAGAGACAGATATAGAGACAGTAAAGCAACAGGCAGACTGTCAAATTACAGTGGGGAGGGGAGGAGGATCTGGGGGAGATAATAGCTCAACCGAAGGACTTGTGTACATGCATATAAGTACAACCAATGGACATAAAACTCTGGGGAGGGAGGGTCTGTATAGGAGGGAGGGAGGGGGGCAAAAAAAATCAATAAAATATATTAAATAAATAAAAATAAAAATATGTTCCTTTTAAAATATATATATATTTATATTTATATTTTAATTAATTTCAGAGAGGGTAAAAGAGAAACATCACTGCCCTGCAGGTGCTGGGCCTGCCAGCACCACAGACGCGGCTGCCGTGCTGCGCCTGTGAGGCCAGGGCGCAGAGGAAAGGGCTTTTCTACGCTCAGCGCTCAGAGCAGTGGGCACTGAGGATGGTGTGTAGCCTGACATGCCCAGCGGGACCCTCAGCTCTGCTCTTCCTTTCCCTCGGGACAAGGCTGGTGGGTGGGTGGGTGAGAGTGGAGCTGATCTGCTCGGGGCTCCTGCCTGGAGGCTCATGGGGTTGGGCACTCCCTGGCCCTGGGTGGGTGGTCAGAGCCACCTGACAGATGAGCGCCCACTAGAGACCGAGACCAGCAGAGCGCTCTAGGGAGTGGGATTAGGGGGACTGGCGGGGGAGGGGCGAGGTGCCAGAGGCCCGCTCCCAGCATCGGGCCCCACGGGAGATCCCCTCAGTGGGCCGATGGGAACTGCAAATGATTGCCCCAGCCAGGGCACCGGGGAGGGGGGCTGTGGGTAACCCTGCTGGAGTGGCTCGTGTAACACCCCCCCCCCGTCCTTGTCCTTTTGAAAAATAAATATAAATAATAAATTTTAAAAAAAGAGAAACATCAATGATGAGAGAGAATCATTGATTGGCTGTTCTCCTGCACACCCCTCACTGGAGATCGAGCCCTCAACCCAGGCGTGTGCCCTGAATGGGAATCCAACCATGACCTCCTGGTTCACAGGTTGATGCTCAACCGCTGAGCCACGCTGGCCGGGTCTTGCTATGCATGTTTCATTGATTGTGTACTGCTCACCTCAGCTCTATGAGAGCGCATTATCATCTCTTTATGGATGAGGAAGCAGATCCAGTAAGATTAAGTCTCTTGCCCAAAGTTTCACACCGGATACAAGTTGGATTCAAACCGAGGTTAATCTGGCTGCTTCTAGACCACCCACCCCACTTTCCCCTGAATCCACAACTTAGCAACTCCTGTCAAGTCGGCCTCTCACTGTGAGCCTCAGAGACCTGTTTTTGAAGAGAGCCTGATGACCCTGACTCCCTTATATTGTTATACGCACTGAATAAGAAAGTGAACGTGAAACCCTTTACAACTGATAACGCTGAATCCCTTTTACAACTGCTGAATCCCTTTTACAACTGATAACACTTATGCAAATGCAAAGTATTGTTGCTGAGGAGAGGAAGTGGGTGTCCCTGGAAGATGAAAAACTTGGGAGCAAATAGCCAAGCAGTGACTCCAGGGAGAGGGGCATCCTAGGTTTGTTCTCTTCGCTCTGGTGGCCCCGGGACCGTAGGAGCTGGACCGAGGTGGGAAAAGAGTGTAAGAGGGGAGGTGGGCCCAGGGAGGACGCGAGAGGGCTGGTCAGGTCAAGGCCTCCAGCTCCAAACTGGACTTTGATGTGTCTCATAGTACCTTTTCTTTCTCTTTCAGGTTTTTTTTTTTTTTTTTTTTAATAGTAATCTTATTGGGGTTTAGCAGGGATGTGATAGTTTCAGAGGCAGGACGGGAAAGACAAGGATTTAATGAGCTGGTCTTGGGAAGGCCGCCACCAGTCACCGCAGCCCTGAGGTTCCCTTGCTCCCCCCTGGCCCCCTGCCAGCCTGGGCTACCTGCGTTGTTTAACCCGCTGAGGACAATGCCTAAGTCGAGGCCTTTTCCTTCCTGGCCTTTCCTGGGAAGGGAGGGATAACAATTGAGTCTGACTGTTTATAGCCAGGTGTTTGCGCCCATAAGCCCGGGCTCTAAACCAAATACCACATGTCCATCCGGCCATCACGACAGCCCCCTCACGCAGCGGGCAGACTCCTCACAGCCTTCCATTCGTTCCTGGCTGTGCTGAGGCCCAAGGGGCAGCCCTTGTCTTCCCCAGCCTCTAGGAGCCCAACTTTGGTTTTTTCATCTCTCCTTTAAAAAATAAATTTTATATAAATATATTGCTTTCAGAGAGAAGGAGAGAGATAGAAACATTAATGTTGAGAGACTATCATTGGTTGGCTGCCCCCTGCATGCAACCCGGGCATGTGCCCTGACAGGGAGTCAGACTGTGACCTCCTGGTTCTTGGGTCCATGCTCAACCACTGAGCCATGCCAGCTGAGTTCATCTCTCCTTTTTGATGCTAGTGGAAATGCCCGGTCTCAACCCAAAACTGATATATGTATGAAAAAGAGAGAGAGAGGAAAAGAGAAACGGAGTAGGGGTGGGGGGGAGAGAGAAAGCATACCTAATTTGGATTCTGGGGAAATAACCATAAATATGGAGGAAAATCTAAACTCCCTAACTGGTCTGAAAAGAAGTGCTGAAATCAGGGCCTGCTCCGGTGCCCAGGTAATACGCTTCTGGGGTGGCAGCCTGCCACTGCACCTGGCGAGGACGGGTGGAACGCTCCATCTGTCATCCTGTTCGCACTGACAGTTTGTCGAGGAAGCCCTCCCCTCATCTCAGAGCACAGGCCGGCCTCACCCCAGGCCCTGAGCGTAAACTGTCACCAAGTTCCACACGGCCCCATGGAGCCAGCTTCCTGCCAGCTGTGCTGCTCGGCCTCGGGCTCAGGGAAAGGTCACTCATTGTGATGACGCAGGTTCCGCTGGATCGTTTTTAAAAAAATGTTTTTATTGCCCTGACCGGTTTGGGTCAGTGGATTGAGCATCGGCCTACGGACTGAGAGGTTCCAGGTTCGGTTCTCCAGTAGGGGGTGTGCAGGAGGCAGCTGATCGATGTTTCTCTCCCTCTCCCTCCCTCTCTGTAAAAATCTTCTTTTTTTTAAAAGGAGAGATGAGAATTTAAAATATATTTTCAAAAATGTTTTTATTGATTTGAGAGAGTAAAAAAAAACACAACAACACACAACAACACATTGATTGGTCGCCTCCTATATGCACCCTGACCAGGGAGGGGGTCAAACCTGCAACCTGAATATGGGCGTTGACTAGGGATCAAACCGGTGACCCTTCAGGGCATGGGATATCACTCCAACCCACCGAGCTACACCGGCCAGGGCATTGGATCTTACTCTTACCCCCGAGAAGTCTCCCTCTTCCTCTACAATGATGGCACCTCCGGAGAGTATCTCAAATGTGTTTTAAGTGAGTCCTTTCCGCTTCCAGCTGGTGTCTGCTGGGTGAGACCACCCAATTTTCCGGGTACCCCCTCCCACATGCAACATCACCACTGCCCCAGGCATCCCCTCACAGCCTGGCTCCAGGGTCGGAACTGCTCGCTGGCCCTCGTACCCCACTAGTGGAGTGTCCCCAAAGAGTGTTTTGGTGAAATTGCTCTTTCCATCGTCATATGCCACGTCCTTCTCCCTCTGAGCCCACTGGGACCCCGATGCTGACTGATAGACGCCACACTGACCTCCAAGTCCCTCTTCCCTCGGACTCTGAAGCTTCCTTTGGACCCAGCATGTCACCCGGACTCCTTTCCCTGAAGACCGGTGTCTTCCAGGAGGCTCCTCCGTGGGAGACCCAGGCAAGTCTGTCCTACATGCTCCCGGGGCTCCTGCTATGGCCCAACCCCGGTCTGGACTTGAACCCACAGCTTACACTAGAGCGAGACCCCAGTTTGACCTATAACCTCATGGAGGTCGTCACCAGCCCCCAGGACTGGGAGGCCAGCTCTGAGGAGGACCCAGGATGCTGGGGAACAGCGGAAGCTGGGGATCAAGTACCTTGCACACCCAGGCCCACATGTGGAAACAGCTGTTCAAACTAACAAAACCAGGTTGATTGTGTCGGTGACTGAAGGAAAGTCGGCGTAAATAGAACTCGGAAAACCAGGCTTGTCCATCAGGATTGCCCAATGGACAAAGTAAATATTTAGTTCCAGCCCTGGCACGGTGCCCGCTAATTCCGTGCTTTGCTATAATTTTTCCTTTTATTCATTCATCTTGCAGACATGTGCTGCCGCCTCCCTTCCATGCAGCCAGTCCTGGCCTGGCACTGCCATGCTCTGATGTGAACCTCAGGGGCCTTGGCGGGGAAGGAGGAGCGGGGAGCAGAGACGGGGAAGGCTTCACAAAGGAATTACTTTTAAACTGGGCTTGGTATTGATTTTTTTTTTTTTTTAAGAGAGAGTGGGAGGGAGGGGGACAGACAGACAGACACATTGATGTGAGCCACATCCATCAGTTGCCTCCTAAATGACTCCCAGTGGGATTGAGCCCGCAGGATTGAGCCTGTGGAATCGAACCCGGGACCCTTTAGTCCGAGGGCCGACGCTCTATCAACTGAACCAAACCAGTTAGAGCTCGGTGTAGACCTCGTGAGAAGAGCCTCAAGGCGGGTAAGGACAGGACTAGGGAACAGCGCCTGACCCCACAGCCTGTGGGTGGCTCAGTGGTTCCTGCAGCGGAGCTCCCTGTGATGAGGACCCCCTACAGCACTCACACCAGGAGGAGCAGCGAGGACTGCACTGCGGGGCTGGCGGGCCACTCCCTGGCTGGCAAGGAGAACGCCTTTATCTTTCTAAGCCTCCGTTTCCTTCCGGAAAATGGCAGAGGATGCTGATGATCAGAGGGTGGGCTTGAGTGTCAAACTGAGTCCAAATCCTACTACTACCTGCTGGCCTTGGGCCTTCTTATTCCTTTTCCTCATTGTGGAGAAAACAGAGATGCCCGCCTCCTAAGAATTGAGAGAGGAAGCATGTCAAATAGTTTCCCCCGAGTAAAGATCAGCTGCTCTTAAGGTCCTGTTATGTGTGTAGAGTTAGGACCCACAATGCCTGTTTCAGTTCTTCCAGCCCGGTACTGATTGAGGACCTACTGTGTGCTTGCTTGCTGGGTCCAGTGCTAACCTCCGCTGGCCCTCCGGAGAGCTCTGGGGCTGGAACGGCCTTTGGAGTCCCGGTGGGTCAGTCATGGCTGGGCCTCCACAGGAAGGAGTGTGACCTTGAGTGAAGGGAGAGGCCAACAGTTGAAGGCGTCCGCGCTCTGACGCCAGGACAAGCTTTTCTTTGCTTTTTCTATGTTTTCACTGATTTTTAGAGAGAAGAAGGGAGAGGGCTAGAGATAGGAACACTGATCACAGTGATCGGCTGCTTCCTGTACGCCCCCTACGGGGAATCGAGCCTGTAACCCAGGCGTATGCCCTGGCCTGGAATCAAACCAGTGACCTCTTGGTCCTTGCGTCGACGCTCCACCGCTGAGCCACGCCGGCCAGGCCAG